TTTAATAGCAGTGTTTCAATGAAGTTTGCATCTAAATATCATTTGGGAATTAGAGTAAGTTCATACATGGTGGTTTTTCAACAGTCTACATTCTGAATATAGATTCCAAAACAGTTTCCAGGGATTCGTGGTATTCTCGACTCGTCTGAGTTGAATAAGATGGGATTCGACAGAAGAAAGGGAATTTTACTTAATTCCACCTATGAGGACATCAAAGGAACAAAGGTTTTCATAAGGCGACATGCTGCCAGGCCGATCGATGTTTAATAAACTAAAATACAGTTGACAGGTGTGGTCGTAAAGAGGACTTCTCTTTCGTTATATTAATTTAAACTTTTCGTTCATTTTGATCACGTTTAGCTTTAGATCAGCCTTGAAGTACTGCTGAATACTTCATGATTTTCATTGGTTGCATGTATCATGTAAAAAAATAAGATACTTTTGAGGGCATGTCCAGAATTAGTGAGTGTTTGGGCGCTCTTCTTCACAAAAAGGTCGTTTGAGTCATATGTGAAGACGAACTTAAACTTCAAAATTCATTTTCTAAAAAATAGCTGTCCACAACGAAAACCAGCACTGAATACACATTCAATCAAGAAGAAAAGATTTCCTGATAAGTTATCTCTTTAAGAAGTTCTTTTATACTGTACTCCGTTGACGGATCTCTGTGTACCTTTAATTTCTGTACCATGAGGTCAAAAAATGGCACTTTTGGCCGTTTACTTCATTTCCCTAAACAATGCTAACATTTTTCAACCGCAAACGTAAGAACATACCTTTTTCTATATATTGCGTTCATTTGGATTGTTTCTGCTTGTCTTTATACTCCGTTCTTCGATTACAAATGCATAGCAGAGCGCCCATATATATACTGATATTTTGCTGATATCCTTAATGCTTTGCTCGTTCCATTTCTGAATAAAGTATGTGCTGAATTTAGTCTACACGACAAGTAATATTTTACATGTCTTAAACTGGAAATGACCATTCGGTGGTGTTCATTTCTGTGGCACCACATAAACATTTCCAAACGGCAAAACACTTTCAGCCCACTTAAACGGAGAAAACCCTGTCTGTGTTATTACTTCACTTCAGAGCAGCAAATCGCCCATATCTGCTTATACGACTTTTAAAAGTCGATAAAACATCTGGTTATCTTAAAAGAACCTTTTTGTTGGCAGGCTGATTATTACGGTTACCATCGGGCATAAAATAAATTTTCAAGTCCGGCAAAATCTGTTTATTAAAACTCTCGCGGGTAAATTACTTTTCTTTTGACGAAAAACGCTCAGATGCGCAAACGGTGGTCTGGATATGTGTTAGCATAGGAAATTGCACGAATATATTATATATTGTAATATATATTATGACAGTGGGCGCTCGCCGATCAGGTTACGGAACATGCTCGTTCCGTTGTGCCTTGGGGCTCATACTAGAACCCTCGCAGGCAGTCGCACAGCGACTAGTAGTAGACATAGATGAGATGGAGCCGACAAAGACAAATATATTATATATATTATAATATATATTATAACATATTGTATTTCCCATAGACTGATTGAGGCAGGACGCTACGTCGTGCGCGAATTGGTTTATGGTAATGGCAGTCCTGCGCGGCATCTGTCGCACTATCGCCTTCTGCACCGACGCACTGTTTCAAAGAAGTTGTCAAGACCCTCTGTCACTTAATCCAAATACACCGACTGATTGATAGAACGTGGTGTCGGTCGCAGGACAGAGACAAAAAGAAACTTCAATCTAGATTTTTCAATTAGAATAGAAGAAGCACTCAAGATACCAGACAGAAGCGCTTCCAGCGACACTTAGAAAGCACCTAAGCACTCATATAACGCAGTAGATTTAGAAGTAGTTTAAATTTAGATATTCAACTAACGTGCTTTTCCTATTAACTCATTTTTTACGATGAAATCTTGCATAAATGGCGACCATAAAGCTGAGAAAAACTAGTAAGGAAAATGCTAGATTTTAGGATTCGAAGACTACTTCATATCAACCACCGAGTTAGGAAAATTCGACTTTTACTTTCTTCAAAGTTCTCCCAATAGCCTGTGCAAAAATCAGACCGGCAGGAAAAAGATAACTCTTCATTCCCTGAGTAGAAGTGATTTTTATCGACATATTCAGCTTGTAGATTTAAGCAGTCCTCGCAGTCGCCTCCACATTTCTGGCTACTATGCATAATGGTAATACCATTGTGCCCATATCATGCGCCGCTATACGGCTGCAGGTTTTGCTCGAGAGAGAGTCCTAAGGCACAACGGGACGAGTGAGTTCCGTAGAAACAATCGGTGAGCGCTCTTTCTACCATTAAATATTCCCGATCGCAATCGACAAGACAACGGGCCCTTGGCTCAGTGGTTAGAGGTGTTGGACTTCTAACTAACGGGTCGCGAGTTCGAACCCCAGGTGTTCCACACTTAGGGGTCCGGTATGACTCGCTTATGACAGTTAATAAGCCAGAAATGGCCACTTCAGTCTCCCTTTTCTTTGTCGGTAATACCATTCTGCATATATGTCTACGTATCTGAGCAGTCAAAAATGCACTGACAATAGAAAGCATAAGATTTGGTCATAAATGAACATCCACACATGTTGGACATTGAAAGAAGCCTGAAGAATATACAAATTATAGCAAAGTATACGTGGTTATTTGACGCATTATTTCTTGCAAGTGTGTTTACTATTATGAATTACAGTCTTCCTCTCTCTCATTATACACGGGTTTTTATGTTTATATTAGCTGATTCCAGTGCCAGACGATTAACCGGCTCGGATAGTGGCTGATGCATTCAAGAGAGAAGAGAAAGAGAATAAGGTGGGGACCATTTTCACAGCTCGTCAGCATATTCCTCATTAAAACAAATCCGGTGTTCTTTCATCTGTGACAACATGTTGAGAGTTGTTACTTTGGTAATTTGGTAACTCGGCCTTCGCATTTACTACAGTAAAATGAAAGACCCGAAGATTGAGATTCAGGCTCTTTGGCACTCCGACTCAGGTGGATTCTGAAGCTCTCTCTCGTTTCTCTGAAAAGCTGGTGGATCGTGCACGCAGACATTGAAGTTGACTTCGTCAGCCACTGCGCCCGAGGTCACCTTCGGTTGTCCTGACTCTATCTTGTCTCGTGAGTCGGGTACAGCTGGAGAATGAGAGAACGCAGCAGATACTGCACAAGTCTCATATTCACGATGAACTAATTCGATTACAAGTCAATATCCTGCGCCCATAATGCAGCGGGACAAACTGTGGGCATCGCCGCATTCGACTACCATACAGTCATGTTTGAATTTATTACTAACCTGTAAATTTGGTGTACGTTGGAGTCAGCACTAAAAGCAGGTGTTTTCGCTGTTATGTGTATTTATTAGTCGTATACGCCAACTGACATATCTACTGTGCTCCCTATCAATGGTATGGTATATGGACTTGAATTGACAGCAGGCAAATAGTCGCGGAAGATTGTAGAAATTGTATATTTTTAATTCCTTCACAAAGTAATTGCTAAAGTGGAGCAAATCAGTCTATTTGAGACTTAGAGGTTCAGACTAGTACAGCACGTGGGCTAACTCATAAAATGTCAACCGAAATTTCGGAATGGGTTAAAAGAGTCTCAGAGATTCTACGTTTAATTATTTGGATCCTTGTCGTGACTTTTATTATAGGCAGCACAAAGAAAGAATGTGTTTTTACTGTGAATTCTGGCAGTATTTTAGTCTAACAGAAACCGATCTGCAAACAGGAGTTCCAACCTTGCAATTCTACGAGCATAACACACGTGGGTTAAATGAGGCAAGGCGGGTCCAGAATCGTAATTGAAAATATTACGAAGAAGTCGACTTTAAAATTGTCTTCTAGGCTAGGTGGTTCAAACCAAAGAGGTGGAATCGTGTGTTGAACATCGACAGTTCTGATGGAGACCCCTCCAATTTTACATCTTTGCTTTTCTTGTCTATTTGTCGCCAAAATTTAGTAATTCTCCCAGAGAATATTACGCGAAAATGGGGCGTCCCAGTCGGTTTGCAGCGGCCGTCCGTCCTTTTAGCAGACGAGAAATTCTACCCTACAAAGAGTTTAAAAATGCGTCTCATGAAAAAGAAACTTTGAAGAACCGTCTGTCTGAATAAACATTCATCCATGATAAACGCCTGCGTGGCTGGAACCCTGCGTATATGCTCTCCAATAGCAGCTAAAGTGCAACAGGATTTCTGTCATCCCATGTTTTATGTCAACATCAGTGACTTTTGTCCTCTCTTTCTACCAAATTTAATCGTTTTCTCAATTAGATATGATATAAGCTTGAAATTCTGTCTTTTTGCTCCCAACCAGGCGCCTTTAAAAAATTATGTTATTGCAGAGACCGTGCACAAAATATTTATGCGAACCGTTTTTTATTTTTGGAGCGGTTTAATGGTAAAGCGGAGTTTGATGGCATCGAACATATTAAAGCCACCTATTTCCTAGTCAGCCGAAGGTGCGTCTGCCAGAACCATAAAACTCGTCTCTTGTCTGAGTCTGTATATTATTAACCGTTTTTCACCCAGCAACAATTCGATCCCAACTCTAACCGAAGCGCGAAGGCAGAACTTGCAGTGCGGGCGCGTGGACGCATCAATGTTTTCTTCTAAAAACCCAGGATTCCTGTAGACCAATATCGTCCTCTGCTCTTATCGTCATAAAATAATCACTTGTAGTGCAGCTCTGCGACCGAATTCGGGGCGTAAATTCGCCTTACCCCAACCAATCCGACAGAAGACGTTTTCTAAATTCCATTGTCCGTGTGTATGTGTGTGTAAATGTGTGCATGAGTGAATGCAAATGCGTTTACATGCTTGTATGTTTATACAAACCTCGGGCGACGCTGTTAGCAAGGTGACGCCTGCAGGAGTATATATAAACTATATGTAACCCTAGAAGCCTCACCCGGTGACTTAAATTTCGCGGAAAACCCACCTTGATTTTGCCCACGCCCCTGAGTCCTCATGAATTCGACAGAACCCTCGGCAACGGGAATGAATTCGCCTACGGCTGGCTACATAGCCATCGTAATTGCTGCTATCGGTTTCGGAACCAATTATCTGCCCGTAAAAAAGTTCAAGATGGGTGATGGTATGTTGCCTTTCTGTCCTTGAGCGTAATGTCACATTAGTCATTTGCATAAAATCGGACATAAATTTATAATCACTGCTGTTTGAACAAGCTGTTTTGCACCATTTTGGGTTGAGTAACTTGCTGAACTAACAAAAAATTCATCTTATCCGAGACTGCGCTCCATTGGTCTACCTGCCTGAAATGCCCAAGGAACAAATTAGTCAATTCCATACGTAGTCTTGCTTGGAAAAATCAAAAGGAAACAGAAAACAGTTTCTCCTCGGCATCTGCAAAGGTGTTATACCGCACTCTCGCAAATGTACTAGCTAAAGGCCTAACTAGTTCCTATGTTGGGAGTACGGCATAACACCTTTGCCATACAGATTTTATACTACTTGTACTACTATTCTTTTGTAGAAAGGACGTCACGTGGCTACTCCACAGTAGTCGATCGTTTTTAACTCAAATGCTCTTTTTAATTTTGGGCCCGACACTATAAAGTCGTGTGCCGGACACTTAACTGCATGTCTTGCATTTAATAGCCTCTGAAATTATTAACTCGATCGGTGAGCATCCCTCTGCCATTATATATGTACGGGAGACAAGTGCCCCGTGGGTGCGGAATTTGTAACTGAGGCAGTTACCTTGACATTTAAAATTATTTCACATGCGGAGATGTAGTAGGTAAATATGCCACACACACTTCACGTGTCGTACCCTTTTACCCTAAGATATATTTACCAAAACCTCTGCCAAACTCACGGTTTGTGCACTACACCGAAGTAAATTTTTTGCAGAAAACCAATTCTTGCATAAGAAAAAGACTTTAGTCTACGTTTTATCTTTTTCAAAAACTCGTCAAAACAATACCACACTTACTTTCGCAAAACGCACGATACAGTTTTTCCATTAGGGCGGACTTGGCGTTCAAAGGGAGCCTTGTATTCACAAAGTGATTCCCACTCGCAAAACGAGTAACGGGTTTTCCAACGCGAATGTCTCTATATTCCTTAAAAGGTTTACTTATCCGAAGTAAAAGTTAGGGTTGCTTATATATCCAAAATAAAAGAGAGAGACGTGTGTGGATACGTATGCGTTTGCTCCTGAAAATCTGCCACAATGAATGTAAAATGCCATTTTGTTGAGCGCTGACAAAAAAGTAAATTTGTGTTTTTTGCCTATTTGTGAGCTTGATGAGAATTAATTAGTCTGTCGTGACGGCATTTATGCAACAGGAAACGTCCAGTTTGAGACTTTTAATCAGCATTTTTGAAATTGCATACAGTTGAACCATTTAAATCTAAAAGACCAAAATTTCATCCGTTGCAACACATACAGCTCAGTTCAATCCCTACTAGTGATTGAGCGAAAATATTTTAAACATTCACTCGATCGTGCTGGACGGCCGTAATCACTCGAAGCTAACTCACATGAAATAAAAGCCCAGGAAAATAGCTCTTACACTCGAAATTGTTGTTCCGGCTTAACCAAATCAACTAGTTTTGCAAAAACGAAAAAACGCTCGATTACTTCGTTAAGTCACCCAAGAAGAAATAACACCTTCTTGAAATTTTGTGTTCAAAAGCAGTTTTTAAAATCGAAAATTCTAATTTGCAAAGAGTTTTAACATGCACTGTAAAGGACTACATCCTTTTTCGCAAGTTGCTTGAGTCTGTACAAACAGTATGCAAATGCTTTTTATTAAATTAGGATAGTTTGAAAGGCTAGGATTCCAAGGTCGAGGTCGCAAACGCCAGCAAATGATTAGCTTACTCGGGTCAAAATGTCAAGTGCGAAGAATGAAATTGGGATGTTGCTGGGTGATGACAGCAGACAACCCGAAGATGGCCATTTCAATGCTGACCCCCAGTTATCGCAGTGGTGAACTGTAAACCCTAGGCTCAAAGGTTGAGCGTATTTGGTTAAGAAACGTACGCCAGCTAGGTCCGTGTACGAGACTTCAGCATGATAACTTCAATTTTCCGGAGTCGCAATCATAATTAGGTAATGTTCTACAGAAAATCGTACGCTAGGGAATTCCAGTGAATATATAGTTGACTTCTATGACTATTGCTTGTGAGTTTCTCAGTGCCGAAAAGGAACAGCCTGTTTTCTTTGGACATGTATGAACCTGCTACTTCACATAATTACCGACGTGGTTCTTGTTCTAGCATATGCGTCATTCCTAAAATGGATCAATCTAGAGTGATTTCCTGAAATTCATCTCTCCAAATTCTGTAAAAACCTTAGCTCGCTGTGCATTTTCTGCCCGAAACCAGTAAATATTGTTGCGCCCTTGGTTTAGGCATGTTCTTCCAGTGGATCATGTGCAACGCCATCCTTCTTGTGGGTCTCATTGTCAATTGTGCTGTTGGATGTCCAAAGTTCTATCCTCTTGCAATGCTCGGCGGTGCCCTATGGGGGACAGGTATGAGTCGTGGATTAACATGTCTTTAATTTTATGCGCCAGAATTCCGTTATACGCCAACTCTCGTAGTAAATGGAGTTTTCTGCTCTAGATGCAATTCTAGGCAGAATAGCAATCCACCGCTAGTTTAAACACAAAAAATAAGTTTTCATCCTCAGGTGGATAGTAATTAACAGTTAGATCAGTCATCGGCGGATAAAATGCCTGGTCGACTTTCGTTACGTGATCGCTGGAGGAAAATTATCAAGTCTGACTAACCGGCCGTCTAAGAATTCCTCAATTAGTATTTACCAACAATATCCTCTTGATATAAGGCCGCCAGCCTTGTTTTAATTGACATCGTGGACAAAAATAATTTTGAATAATAAGTCAAATGGAAATAGACGCAGTAGGGCGCATTTCGAGGGAAAAGATTTTCTTGGTGATGGATTGTTTTTCTAAAAAAATCCATCTAAATGCCTCATACAAAATAACGGACGTGTACAGAATTCCTGTAACAAATTCAAGAAGCTTTTTCTAATACATTTATTTAAACGCAAACCAAAGCATTTGCGGTCATGTTTAAAGGCAAAATCTGCCGCGAAATGAACTGTTAAATCAGCCCTTTATGAAATATTCGGTTAGGGAGTTGATTTCGATGTAGTCTGCTAAGCTCGACACTTGCTTTCCAAAAAACCAGTAAACAAAAATGGCCTAATGATTATTTCAATGATGTTTCGGTAGAATTTGAATAATTCATATCGACCCAACTGTGAAAAACTCGGCATCTAGATGGGATTCGAACCCATGACAGTAACGGAAAGGCTTTAATACGGCCAACACTATTACCACCTGAGCTACGAAACCTCGCCGAATGAAGTGAGTTTAATCACATTTGAGTCAAGTTACCCGCCCAACCTACTGCAACGTCTGAATCCACCAAATCTGATACAATAAGTTGGCTGCCCAAGCAGGATTTCCTAATTAATTCACCTAGAATCCACCTGATTACTACTAGGCTCACGTAATTCATAATTCGCGTCGTCCTGCGGGGCCTCGTAGTTCAGATGGTCAGGGCGTTGACTGTACGGAAGCCTCCCCCTTATTGTCGAGGGCTCGAATCCCAACGAGGTGCCGAGTTTTTCACAGTTGGGTCAATCGAAGTAATGATTATTTACTTATTTCTTTTTCTGAACTAATGGGTGTGGGTTTTATTTCTGACTGGCAGGAAATGCCCTGATTGTGACGATCATCGAGGCTATTGGTGTGGGATTGGGTATTCTCATCTGGTCAATGGCAAACATGCTCTTCGGATTTGCAAGCAGCCGGTAACCTTCCTCAATAAACGTGACCATTAATAATTTTATGACTTTTTCCGTTTCTGCCTACTGGTAGTTTTCACTGGTCATGAAGCGTAGTACTAGTCTGCAGCTGTAAGCAAGGTAAACTACCGGGAAGGTGAACATATGGCTTAGGAGACCTAGAAAATGGCTCCTATGTAATGAGGTTAGACAAATTAATGGAAGTGGGCTCATGGAAAGCTGCTTCTATGGCTATTTTCGAGTTTTCAATAAGAATCTAGCATAGCACTGGGCACCAATAAAGACAAATCACTATAACCGAGAATGTGAGAATTAGTGCGTTCATCGGTATCATTCTTCCCCAGAAGAGTCAGTCAAGGAAAACATGAACGATATAACAAGTGGACAAACACCATACGCTTTTACTGTCCTTTGTCTTTTTCCGCAATACCATTGAGTCAGGGGAGAGTATTAGTTAGTTGATTGACCCGTCAAAAGACCGTTCATCGGAATTTGGACCCGACATTGTCTTCTTTCGCTTAGGTTTGGTTGGTTCGGCATTCCCTGCAAAATCCCCTCAAAACCAGTGATGAACTACATCGGTGTGGGTATTGCTCTCGGAAGGTGAGTAAGCGTTCTTTCATTCTTTTTCCCATGATAATTATTTTATTTCACTTTGCTCTACCATCCAATGCACCATATGAAACAGTGGACGATCAGAGGGAAGCAAACCCAAATCTCTAACTTTTCTGGCCGTTCAATTAAGCAGGACCCCGAAATGCAAAAATGCTTCTTGAGATATGGTATAGGCCAAAAAAATTAAAGTTTGTAGGAAGTTAATTGTTTTAACCACATGGACGCTTTCTTCCTTCCGCTCATTTGATTGCAGATAGAGACTTCTTCAAATTCTATACTTGCAGAAAGAAGGTCCTTCTGTTTTAGAAAACTCCCTCCATTCCCGAATAATTGTGAACACAGCCTGTTGTCATACTTGCATCCAGGATTTCGTACAAGGGGAATCAGACATTGTACATGTTCAGATTGGCAAAGTTGAGAGATCCGGGAAGATTATTAGAAGAAGAAAATAAGCTCTCCGGAACAGGCTTATTTAACTGCTGACGTCTCAAAGAGCCGCGTCGGCTCTTCATTGTCAAAGCGTAAAATGCACTTAATCGATCAGAACCACACCGGACTTAGGAAGGCCCTACGGAGAAAGCCGGACGCTGGGTCTACTCGGTGAGGAAGAACAAGAACCGCCAGACCGACCGCCCGACAGACATTCACTCAGCTCTCCTCGACGGAGTGGTGACCCACAAAGCACACAGGCAAAACGCCCGTCCACCATCTCCCGAGAGGCTGAGGCTTCGAGAGGAGAGAAACACCGATCAGCATAAGGCCGACCAACACAAGATGCCACTTTAAATTAAACTTCTGATCGATTAAGTGCATTTTACGCTTTGACAATGAAGAGTTGACCCAGCTCTTTGAAACGTCAGCAGTTAAATAAACCTGTTCCGGAGAGCCTATTTTCTTCTTCTAATTTTACATGCCATTACAAAGAGGACATGTAGGGCTCATCAGATTTTTTAATGGATATAGACCACGTTTTCCACTCCATAAGCGGCATTAGAAGTGTGCTGATGCGATGTTGTACGGCTGAGCATTTCATGTTCTTGAAAAATCACACAATTAAAAACTTTATTAAACCGGAAGAAACTCCTTCCTCGAGTATAAAATTTCAAAAAGGATATTTGTCAGCAAATGAGTAAAAGAAAAAATAGTTTTGTGTGCGTTTAGTATAAAATATATTTAAATTTGTAGGAGCGTAGAAGATCAGTAGGGACAATTCGCACTAATTAAGTAGTCATTTTTGCAAAATGTAATTTGCAGAGGTGGTTGATAAGGCGCTCGTTCAAAAGTCGGAGTCCTGATATGACTGGAATATTTTAATAGGTTGCGCCATGTTAACTACAATTACAATACTACTTAAGTAATCTTCCAGAATTAAAAACGTATTTCAGAATTTAAGCATACACTGCATAAGATGGCATATCTACTCTACTTGCCTCCTTAACTTACGAATCTGTAGGAGTCGAAATAACTGCTGTGTCGATCTCGTCTAATTATGTCGTTATCGCACTGTTTTTTATTCGGTTGTCTTCTAGCCTGCAAAACGGTCACCTCTTTCTGATCACTGCTGTCATATTTTGGAGCTTGTTTAGTCTGGGGAACCAAATACTCTACCGTTGGTCAACAACGACGTGAATAAATGACCAATCGAATTTGGTCAGTACAAACGGAAGGGAGGCGGCACGGGTGGCGCTAGGGCTTGGCAATTTTAAGGACCTGCCAGCCCAAAAGTGTGCACTGTTCACGCTGTATTCGCGTGCATATGCCTGTTTCCGATCACGGACGTGTTTACCGGTTGAAGCTGAGCGCAGCGTTCGTATCCCGGTAACTGTCTCGAGTGGCGGCCGAAAACAAACATGAGACCTTGTCCGGCTACTGCAGGCTCAGCGGCTGTCTCGAGACAGCTTCAGGCGTGTACATTATCTTCTAACCGCAAGTGTCCCCCACTTCGAGAAAGGCCAATTTAACTTGCATGTGAAGATGGGTCACTGGGTGGAGGAGAATGCGACCATCACTGAGCATCTTTCTTTTAATAGACAGGTCGTCTTTGTCCCTTTCGTACAAGACACTTCTGCGAAATTACATTTCTAGTCTCTTGCTGACGAGGGGTTGTCTATAACTGTTACGGGCGACTCAACCTGATTCAAATAGCGTTCTCTCTGCATGTCGACAGTCAGGGTTTTTAAGTCACCATAGGTAATAAACACTGCTTGTCCGTAGCGGGGCATGGGGCCAAAAAAATATGCCTCAAAACTGTCTGCTTACATCTCCTGGTGAGCCGATAGTAGTTTTCCGGGCGGTATTAACTCTCGAAACACAGACAACACGCCTAATGTCTGCCCCACTTTCAGCCCTTAGTCGGAATGGCGTCACTCGCATTGTTGGTCCTGAAAGCGCCTGCTCACCGCGACGGACTAGTCAATCCTATAAATTCTGGCATCTACACACTGCGATAGCCAGCTGCAAAGACCTGAATTCAAGCGCAACGGGGACTATAGGCGGACTTACGCTTCGGTCATGGGTACTCTGATTAAGATAGTAGGTGTAGAGAAATTCGACTGAGGGGGGCGTGTTCTGTTGTCATAGAATTCGCAACAGCGGATACCTACTGGCTAAAAGTCTATGGAAGCTGTATTTTTTATCGGAGGAAAGACTACAATTGCGGCAAAAATATTGGAGTATATAAAACTCTTGACTGGACCTCGCAGAAGATATACAATGCTAGTTGCTAAATGAGGGACTACAGTAGGCGATCCACCGTAGGAATTCTTAACTGCGATGCTGAAAGGCGTTTTTGACCAGAAAGGGTTACTTAACTGATGTTGTGATATTTCAGTCACGGCAGGTTGCTAGCTCTCAAATGCAATTTTCTGAGGTCACCTGCACCAAATAAGTACACTGAGTGAAAGGTGGCTTCTTGGCTAACAGAAATTTATTCCCCTGACTGTCGATACGCTTTTAAATTAAATTAAATTTGGATGGGAAATAAGCACACAGGTCGTTTTCTGGCATGTATTTGCATGCAAGACAATCATATCTTCAAATTTCACATTCGCAGAAGGCACAGCTGTCGATTTAAAGAGAAACCGATGCTAATTCGCAAATGATTGCAAACCATACCTGTTTCTGTGGTTTTGAAACAACAAACTCTGTTCTTTTTATGTAAAGAAAATCACGCATTTCTTTTTGGCATTAAAGAAATATCATACTAGGCTTATGCAGTTTTGCAGCGGATATGAACGATCCTATACGATCCTATTGGAGTGCACATCTCGCGATCTCGATAATCTCATTTCAGTAAAATTTTCTAGACCAAAAGTTCCCATTTCTGCGAGTATAAAATTCAAAAATATAAGTTTGCATCAAATGAGAAAAATAAAGTTTATTTGTGTACATGTTTCCCATCCAATATCGTTCAGTTTGTAAGATCATCGCAAATCCCCATTAATTAAATAGTCGCTTTTTGCTAAATGTGGGTTTTAAAGGCTTCCGGAAAGAAACGAATTCGAAAGTTATTACCCTGACAGGACTGAAGTATGTTAAAATTCGCTTGTATATAATCAGTATGACGAAACGTCATAAGTACCCCCCTCTAATCGGGAACATCTATGTCATAAGATTTTAGGCGTTCATCTGTGCATTGCCCTGAGAAATCTAGTGGTATGGATATGAATAAAGAAACGACATAAAAGGAGACCATCATTTCATTCGCGGAAATTGTGATTCCTCTCAATTTACCTAGAAACCTGAAAGGTTGGCAATCCCTGGGATTTGATCCCGCCACCTGCTATTTCGAAGCCCAACACCCTAACCATCGAGCCAGTTGGTCGTTGTCCTATCGGTTGCGATCAGGTGTATGTAACGGTAGGGGAGTGCGCACGCTTGTCTTTGTCGATAATGTCATTTTACCCATCTTACGCTCCATTGTGAGGTAGCTGGAGGGGCCAAAGAGAGAGAGAGAGAGCGTAAAAACGCAACGGGACGAGTGAGTTACGTAGTAAGACCGGTTAGCGCCCCTTTTCCATCGTACATATATGCATATATATCAAGCGGATAATTTCAGAAATTATTCAGTGCAGAACATGGTGTTAAGTCACCAAGACATTACTTTTTTACGGTCAGACCTGAAGTTTCGGGAGTACGGTATAACACGTTTGCTAATGTATATATATAGATATATCAAGAGAATAACATCAGAAAATATTCGCTTAATTCTTCTTTGGAGTTCATATACGAGAAGACGCATCGAAAACGCTGGAGATCCACCGAGGATCCGAGCCCTTCGTTTCATGCAGCGGAAGAATACCTGCGAAACACATGTTCAGGCATTTAGTTAGTACCTATGTAGGGAGTGCGGTATAAAAGCTTTGCCATATATATATGCATAGCCACCGAGATGAAGCATTGAACATGACGCATATTTGTCGCTGATCATTACCATCCCCAGTGTACGGGCACCAGATTAACATGCATCCGTGTTCGCCCAATGCCAAAATCAGTCTGGCAATGTGTACACCCTCATCGTCTGTCTCCTTAACAATGCTTGCATTAGCACTCAAAAGTCCGAACTCGATTACACAACCCTAGAAGGTTATAAAGTGTTCCTGAGAGTCAGAATGTTAATTGATGCTATTTTCTGGTTTATGTCACATCGGAATTCCATCCTGTTGACGCTGATCCCTTTCAGTGTCCTCATTTACGCCGCCATCAAGCCAAATCAAAGCGGTGAGAAAGAATCGGACCTCCCAATGCGAGACATGATGAATGAAAGTGCTGAAACTATGAGCGAGAAAGAGCTGAAGAGCAATAAAGGTTGTTCGCGATTTTGCCAACCCGTCAGCAAAATGCCAATGATTCAGCGAAGAATCATGTAAGAGTTGCAGTTTAAGACATTTTTTCGATCTGCCAATGTTTGTGTGTTTTTATTGTTCCATCGAGATACTTAACACTCGCATGATAGTTCGACCGTCGAGTCCGACGATGTTTACCGTGTACTCCACAGATAGGTGGAGCAGGCACGGTGACGTGCGCGTGAATTAGTTTACAGAGATAGTCGACTTGCACAGCATCTACCGCACTCTCTCCTCCTCTCCCACCTGGACCCACTGTCAAGACAGAGTCAAGAGGACCGGAGGTGGTGGAGGGCGCGAGTAGATGACACGGTTGAGCCCACATCTTGGCGCTCCACCCCACACCCTCTGGTTCACACAGCAAATAACCAGGTTTTTGATCAACAACCACAATGGGGGATGGTAGGGGTCCCAGTGTGCGCAACGACTGCCGACAGCCGGGTCTGTCACCGAACCCTAAAGATGCTGTCATCTGTTATGGTGCGCAGTTCGATAACGCATGCCAGAATCGGATATGGCCCCCGTGTTGGTCCAGCGCATCTACCACGTGCTCCGTTCGGGAGGCGCAACACTTACACTTCCCTACTCCATTGGGATACAAGATAAACAAACATACAGGCGCAAACGCACACAATTCGACCAACACTCTCTCTTCACTCACTCTCCTGCGTCCAGTCAAGACGACAGGGGGCGGATTCAGACGCAGTGACTGGCAAAAATAAACGTTTCGTCTAAGCGCGTCAAACACGACCTGATCCCACCCCCCATAATGTACCAGGCTCTCCCAGAGACAAGTGGTAGCCTAGATGTTATCGGAGTGGGAAGGCGGCCTAGAGCCCTACTCACCGTCCCGTAAGAACCAAGTTATCCCATCAGCTGGCAGTCTTCCAAGTCACGACATTTAGCGTGTCATCTTAATTTTAAAGCGCGTTGACCTTTACAGTGGCAAGGAATGGGCCGAAAGGGTTGTGGAGATGGAGTCCGCATAGTCCCCCTCACTCTCTCTTCCCTCTCACATTCCCCAGCCCACCGTGCGAGCCGTTGGAAATCTGATGCTGGGACCAGGCGCAACTGCCCCCCCCCAACACACACATACACGCACGACAGTTCGAACGTCGATTCCGACAATGTCCACCGCGTTCTACACAACTAGGTGCAGAAGGCAGGGTAACTTGCTCGTGAAATAGTTTGTAGTGATAGTAAACATTACGAATCATTTACCTATTTCTCCCTTCACCCACCTGAGTCCGGTGTCAAGACAGAGTCAAGGGGGCCAAAGGCGGGTGAACGGGCAGGCGGTTGGCACGGCCGGACCCCCACCTAGGCGTGCTACCAAACCCTCTGATCCACAACATACGCTTGATCAGGATTTTTCACCAACAGCAACGCCCCAAGAGGGGTCAGAAGGACGAGGATGATGACTGGGGAACCATGCCCACCACCTGTATACACAGCGGAAGCGCAAACGCATCTACCGGCAGCGAACCAGGTGCCAGGGGACTGCCAGCGCATATCAGGCTGCGAGGACCATGGTTTGCTGATCCTCGCACGGCACATGCTATCAGACATTTTGGCTGCAGATAAATTATTGACAGAACACACGACTGTTACTGGTGCGGGAAGCTACCTAAATGTCTGTGGTAGAACACCAAGTTTTCAGTTTTCTAAAGCGTGTTTAGAATGCGCTCTAGAGGACCGCGCTTCTATATGAAAAAGGCAATTTGAAGGGTATTTTTTACGAAGGTGTGTCTGATCTCACCGGCCTGATAAAGTTGCATACTCTTCCCAGGAGACATTTAGCAGACCACGACAACAGCCAGTGACATTAAGTGCATCACATGCTCTTAGAAAACTGTTTCACGTTTCAGCGGCATCGTTCTATCCATTGGTGCTGGTGCGCTTTTCGGCAATACCTTCGTTCCCACAATTTACATTCAGGGACGATATGAAAATGCGAGTCAGCAGGGTAAGCGCTATTTTGCCAAAACGCCTGACAAATCTGTACTGTAGTTATCTTAGCCTGTTTAATGACTACCTCCTGACAGTCAGGAAAAATAAATTATCTGCCGAGGGTTGTCGACTGAAATTTGATTGCATTCATCGACTGAAAATGGCTCAAGCCTTCGTTTTCTCTGTTTATTTTTTACTTACGGTTTATATTGGCGCGCGCGGTGTGGGTTTCGATTATTGAATGCCTTCATCAGAAATTGCCACCGAAAAATTACCAAACATTTGGGGACTTTTTGGGCACCCCTTTTCGCAGAAGGCAAAATAATATGAGGTAGTACCTTGCTAATGGCCTATCCAAAACAAACACATTTTACGCATTTTACGGGGAATTACGTTTTGTTGAGGCCAATTTTTAGGGAAAAAGACTGAGTGAATCCATGGGCGCTCCCCAGGCCGACATCGCTTTCGGTTATTGCGCATACGGCTTTGAGCTTAATGCATGTATAGTAAAATATCTAGAAGGTAGATGAAGGTGGCCATTTCTTTCAGCCGGCATTATTCAACTCCAGGTCCGCAGTCAACGAAATTAAAAAATCGTATTCTTCCGCCATCCTGCTTTATTAGATTCAACGCCTATCCTTCTTCGTCGCCCCTTCCCCTGATCCCTGACGGGACCGGACTATGATCAGCCCTGGTTTCTGACATATCCGGCCGCCCTTCATTACCTCGCGCAACACTACTGCTCATTGGATATTTTTCAACTATCTCTGTTCTGCCCAGAGTTAATTATTTCACTGGGCAGATCCGATGGTTACTACTTGAGAACGCACGATAATCGACTTTGACTTAAGCGAAAACAATTACTATGGAGTTTTCAGGGATATCACAGCCCGAATAGAAATGGAACATTAAGCACATGCACAAACCTTTGTCCTATTTATAACTTGTTTGTTAGGTAGATTATACATAAATACAGTGGGCACATAAAAATATTCTATTTCGAGGAGAAACGTCTTACCACAAAGAGACCACAACAGCGCAAAAGATGCTTAGAATTACAGAGAATAGTCTCTGTTCTGTTACTACGTTTCATGAAATCACTTAAGATTACGTTCCATGCCGAACAGCACTGAAACGCGACTTGAGTATTGACAATTGTGCCAATGCTTATTTGAAGACTCCGCTCAGCGTCCTACCTCTGCACTTTTCGGTTAGGTACACCAATAGCATCCACTTTTCTTTTATTTTTAGGGCTTGATTATGTATTTTCTAATTTCGTTGGAATTTGGACCGCCTCCACCGCAATCTTCGTCATCTACGCCTGTGCCAAGCGCAACCAACCCTGGATACCCGCTCCCAGTGCCATTTTGCCGGCACTTGTGAGTGGAGTCCTCTGGGCAGCCGCGCAGTCGGCCTGGTTTGTGGCCAATGCTGCCCTAGGTGAACCCATCACCTTCCCCATCGTGACAACCGTGCCAGCTCTAATTGCCACAATCTGTGGCCTGATATTCTTCAAGGAGATCACAGTGAGTTTGGCGAGTCAAAATGCATGCATGAAGTTCATAAAACTACCCAATTCTGCGCAGTTTTAATGAATGCATTCGAATTCTCGTGGTTGGATTCGTCGCCTACAATTGTGCCTCTTCTATATAAATTGAATAAATCTGAATAATCAATAAACCCTATCCATTTTACGGATAGATTTTGATTGCGAACGGAAACTTTCACAGAGGTTACTGGAATATTTTAGATTGCAGGCAACGTCCGTTGATCACCAATCTAATTAATTGAACTAACTCTAGGATCATTTCTCGTTTTTTGGCATGCTCCCACACATTTTGACATTTTATTACTAGTTGTGCTTTCTGGGCGTCTGTTGCTGATGTGAACTTTAGCTTTACAAGTTAGCGCTTCTTAGACGTTTCAAAACTCACTGCCGTTTTCGGATATGCGGTGTACTTGTCGCTTTTAACTGATTATCCGTATCGCATACTACTGAAACTTCAAATACCTGCCAGTCCGGCTTGGTTTTGGTGGATAAAGGACCGCTTTCTTTAATCTCCGCCCCAAAAACTTTCTTTCTCTACAAGTCGACTGGAAATATTGGTCCAACTCTATCCCCGAAAACGACTGCCACGTGCATTTAAAAAATGAACAAATGAAAGTAGAACGAATGCATAATATTTCTGCAGTTACGACTGATTTTTGATTCGCACTTAGTTCATAAGTCGTTCTTGGCCATTTTATAAAAAACCGAAAAAGATTTTTCTGTTAATAAATGCGCTTAGCTTTCTTCCTTTACTCGATTTATACGTCCTAAGAGAGTTAATGTGAAGACGTCGGATCTTCTTAGACATTAGAAGTGTTATTAGGTAAACTGTGACATACCGATAGTTTGCATGGTCAAACGTCAATTTTGAGCACAATAGGACTGGATTTGCGATGGGCGGTCAGAATAACTATATTATAACCGGATCTGCGATGTTTATACATATAGAAGTATATAGTGGCGACATTCACAAATAAGAGGGAGACTGGAACGATAATATTTGGATTATTGACCATCAAGCCCTCAACTATCCCCAGCCCAAGCTGAGCTGCACGAGTTCGTACCCGCACCCTGTCACCATGTGTTGCAATGACGAAACTGTGACTTATTTCACTGGCAGATTCGTCTATCCTTCTACGCCTTCCCTTCCCCTGTCCCCTGACGGGCCCTCGTGGGCTCAATGATTAAGATTCCGGACTCGGGTCCCAGTTGTTCGGAAGCTGAGGTGGGGTAATGCTGGTTGATTAAGACTAATAAGCTACCACAATCCCCGTTGTCTTTGTCAGTATTTTATCTTGTATGCTTACAGGTTGCTTTGCGGTTGCCTTTGAAAGCCTTTGATTGAGCTCCAAGGCACGATGGGTTGGGCATGTGTCGTAACCCCTGATCGGCCAAAGTTCTCCCACTAATAAATATACATATATACTCCTGCATCGAAAATATCATCCCAAGAAATTTATTTAGAAATATATCAAGTCCGTTAGGATCAAAATGAAGTTTATTATGCGTATTTTCGAACGCTGTTTCTAAAAACAATACTCACAGGGGAAAGTGAATGAACAGGCACATCTGGCCAAATTCCTTTTATAGAACTCACAAGGACAAGTGTAGATTGATGCAGACAATGGATGTCTCTTAGTTAAAACTCCAGCCAACCACAGTACTTTTGTTGGGCAGTGCTTAAGTGCAGTTATTTTTATACATTTCGCATCTGATCAGCTGGAGAATCATTCTTCAAAATAAGCATAACAATCTTTGCTGCTTTCGAAAATAACTTGTTATGTTTCTGACATATTCATAAATATATGTGGTAGTGGCACTTGCAGAGCCCCAATATAATTGCCAGCTGGAACTCCAGATGCGTATACTGCCTTTGTTTCCGGTGGCTCTCCTAGTCGTCAACAAGACACTTAACTACAAATTTTTCCAATAATGATGATAATGGACTCATCACGGTCTTTTATAGATAATTTCGTGATTGTTTAACGGATAAATAATGCTAGTTACAACTATATTGACTGGCATAAATAACTCCGCCCAGAGGGAAACAATGATTTTATGCCTGCTAATAGGTGACGATAAAATATAGTGCAAAGTAAAGCGCATTAACGTCTATTTCCTCGTATTCTTTCAAGGGCCTTCGAAACTACATTCTCCTCGGATGCGCGTTTTGCGTAACTGCAGTCGGTGTTGCACTGAACGCTCTGTCTCGATGACCTGCATGGACGAACTCGCCACTTTTTTGACAAACAATGTCCGCTTGTAAATTCAATCAAATGCAGGCTCTTGTATCCTAATTGCCCTAGTTTACTCATTTTTTTCCTATAATTGCACTCCGGATCTCCATAACAGTGGGATGGCAGAGCAGCAGCGAGTACTGAGTAATTAAAAGTGCTTGAACTTAATTTAGATAGACTGAGTGAATAGGTTAGCTTCATACTTGACGTCATAAACTCCTGATCTCTACTGGAGTGGACAGTTTTACACTAGACAGATACACGATGGGACTGACATATGCGACCTCCTAAGCAGCATGAGAGGACAGGAACCGTCTACAATGCGGATGGCTTTGAGCCAACGTCCTGTGAAATTAGGGCTAGGTTAAGGATTAGGTCCAAGGCTGGATTTAAAGTTAATGGTAATGTAAGTTAGGGTCAAGTTTAGGGTTAAAGTAGGGACTAGTGCTAATTACAGAGATATGGTTTGGGGAAGGGTTGAGGTCAATGGCTTAGTTTTATATTCGGGTTGTTGTTTGGGTTAAGACACGTGAATAGCTTGCACTATCCGGCAACATGAGCAGGTCCGCTTTTATTACTGGGGTGGGGCACACCTATTCCCATGCCCTGTTTAGGGGGCCACATAAGTCCGTCCCACCCTGTGTAGTCGGAGCTGCATGCTGAAGAGCAGATGAGCCCATCTGAGCATAAATACTGGGGGAAATGTAAAATTAAAAATAAGGAGAAAACGCCCAAGTGCCTCTGACGGCTTCGTTCTTTCGAAGACTGCAAGGATTTCGGCATCGAATGAGAGGCGACCCTTCGTAGCCAGTCGCCAGGTGGCCTTCGAGCCGAAACCCAGAAATTTTCCAAATAGCGGAGGCCAATCAGTACTGTGCATCAGAAATCAGGGCAGATTTATTGGGCTGTTCACAGTCTAAAGTGGATGTCCTGAGCGACTGGCAGTGTCCAGTAAATCCGACATGGCCTTACCTGTTACTGTCGGAGAAAGTCAACTCCTTCACAGTTGCACATCACGGCGGTATAAACGCTTTATGTTCTGCTTGCTTTCGTCAGATCGTCCTCCTTCAAAGTCTGTTTTGAAATTCCCGGGTTTTAGAAAAAAGGGGTTGACTCACTTCCCTAATTAAGCTGCGTAAGACCAAATGAGATGTATTACCTTGGTAAAAAAAAGTTTCGGGACACGATGAGTTATATAAACCAGTCTTGCATTTTCAAATTTAGTACTTATGCAAGCAAACGCAACTTCTTTTGCTGAGAAAAGCTCTTGAACAGTGAATAATTGTCACGTGTTTTCGCACAACTGACCTGAAGCGTTCACTGCGGGAGATGAGGGTGGTGGGTTTCCCGTGCAAAAAACACATGATAGGTCTTCATTCTACGACTGTTTTTTCGAGCAAGTTTCTATGAATACCTTCCAAAACTCGTACTCCCTGCTTTCGCATGCAGGTGTGCTCAGTCACATGGAAACGGTGATCACAGGTCCACCATGACCGTAAGATGGAACTCAGGTGATCAATGCTGCTGCAGTGTGTGGAGCGCCCTGCCTGCTACAGGGATGTTTGGTTAGCAATCTCCCCCTTTTTTTCCACCAAGCCGTAGTCGAATTTCCGAAGAACACAACCAGACAGGACTCGCATAGCCTGAAAGCACGCGGATCATATGTCTTCCATCCTACGGTGGGAATGGTCCACTCTCGTGGGACAGCGTTTACATAAGTAAAGAATCGAGGTCGCAATATTTGAACTGGAGCCATAGGAACTCGTTCGACGAAAAACAGTGGAAGTGTCACATTTTGTTACTGATTTTTGCGTAGCTCACTGACAGCCCTCACTTAGGTGGAGACCATTTCAGTTTTAAGGACGCAAACAGTTAATCCAACTGGCAAAAACAACCAGTTATATTTGTCAGGCAATCTGAGTTGGGCTTGAAGTTCTCATTTTACAAGGCACCGAGCAATGGGCACAGTCCTGCCAGATAAAACAGTGCCCGACCAAACCTTGTCGTAGTCGGAACTAACACGGTCAGGATACTTCTCCTCCTTTACTGCGAAAGGAACCAATCCCGCCCTCGCGTTGGTCAGACTGCATTTCAGCTGTTTGAGACGCTAAATTCAGCAGAGTGAGAGGAGCTCCACTTCACGAGGACGATAAACGATAATGTAGTACAGTTTGAGTGACTGCGCCACTTTTTTGGCAAGACTACTTATTCGCCCCCTTTCGGCATGCCGACTGCGTTAGCTCGGAGACAGGACCCTCGGGCGAAGACAGTGATAGAAACACTCCTATGTTGTGTGTATTGACCTTCTGTTTCCCACAGTCTGTCCGACCAACTCTCGGTAGTATTGCCCTCATCAACACAAAGTAGGTGGGCTAATTCATAAAATGTCAACGGAAATTCCGAAATTCGTCTTCATTTCGAAAAGATTAATTAAGTACAGCTGTAAAACTAATCATCTTGGAGCATAATTCTATAATAGTTCAGTTACCCCGAGATGCCGGCCTTCGAACGAACTTCTTTTTGTCTGCATTAAAACACTGTACTTCGTAAAAATGACTACTTAAGTAGCATGTATTTTTCTCCCTGATTTTTGGTGTTCTTAAAAATTCAATTATATTTCATGGAAAACATGAATGAAAATATTCATTATCTTACTCATTTGCTAAAAAATTACACCTTCCAATTTTGTGCTCGAAGGAAGTGTATATTTCGACTTTAAAAAGTTTCCAATTATGAGATTTTTTAATAGCGTGAATGGCCGTCCACTAAACGTCATGTCTTTGCATTTACCAATATGTCTTGCAATGTTATAAATATGGCTCAAATCCACTGCTAAATTTTATGAACCCAATATGGGCTCCCCTTAATACCGTAGAGCAATCTGTGGTTTTACGTGCGCGGAAAATATACATCTTGTAGTTTTGAAACCTTGAATCCAAGTGTTACGGCAGGTCGAGGTTCAAAAGGATTGGGGAATTGGAAAAGCTGTCAAGACTCGAATTATACCCTTCGAGTATAAACTTAGAAGAAGACTTAATTGCCTACCGAACAAGCAGAAGAATGAATATTTTCATGCGTGTTTTCTATGAAATTTAGTTTAATTTTTAAGAACATCGAAAATCAAGGAGAAAAAGGCATGTTACTTGGGTAGTCATTTTTACGGAGTACAGTTTTTCGTGCAGATGGAAAGAAGTTTGTTCGAAGACCGGCCTCCTGGGGTAACTGAATTATTATAGAATTATGCTCCAAGATGATTAGTTTTGCAGCCTTACTTAATTAATATTTTCGAAATGAAAGCGCATTTCGGAAGTTCGGTCGACATTTTATGAGTTAACCCACCTACTGTACTTACAGTTCACCCCAGTGCATTTGAGTGGATTTGCTTGATTTTTCTTTCGTGTATAGTCTTAAAACATGCGAGTTTGGCTGCATGATTGTAGCTCACTTGTGGCATCCGATGTCCATGAGATCAGTGCTCTGGTAATATTTAGGATTCCCAGTTCTCTCGAATGGAGTTAGATCGATCTTGAAAACTTCCCTTAGGGTTAGAGCGATTGGAATGTTCAAATGTGATTAAACTCGCGCCGTCTGGTCGGGCCTTGTTGCTCAGGTGGGTAGAGCTTTGGCTGTACTAAAGCCCTCCCCTTGATGTCGTGGGTTACAATCTCACCGAGGCGCCGGGTTTTTCACAGCTGGGTCAAAGTGAGCAGTCAGTACATCATACTATAGGCAACTGTACTGGTTCGTGAGCGTCTTTGAAAGAAATGCATGAATTTTTGCACTATTTTTTTCACTTAATCCAATTTTTGCAGTTACGACATGGTGTAAAGTCTTCCTTTCCCCTTAACTATCACTTAAAATTTGTGCGGATTGACCATCATCACCATAATGAAGTCAAACTTGACAGACAAGCACCGGAAGCGTTTACTATCAGTAAACAGGATCCAGAACGAACTCCGAACTTTCATGGGTGGGCAGTGACTCAGGGAAGGAATGGTAAATATGATAATTTGAAGGAAATTTAGTAAATTAGATGCCATACCCTTTAATCAGGATTAAAGCCAGGTACACAATGCCACTGTTCTGCTGTCGGCAAAATCTCTTCTAGCCTGACTTCGCTTAACGGAGCCACTCGGAGGGGCTGCGGCGGAGTGCTCTGCATACAAAATTTTCCTACAAGTACTCGCTTGCCTCTCTCCTCCCCCAATCAAAATCGGTTATGTCGCCATCTGCTCTTTGAACAAAGCATGAAAATCAAGCGTGTGAAAAGATCTTTCATTGTTTCAACATCACTTGGAAGGATAAACTATATGACAAGGTTAGGGTTACTATAGTGATCTGCTTCTTTATTTATCTGCGTACGCGTTCTTCGGTAGAGTTTTTTGGTTGGAATTCAGTTACACCCTTTGACGGCTCTAATCCAGGCAGGACAACATTCTTTGAACTAAACCGCCCCGAGTACGCGGTTCTATACAAACGTCTGATAATCTCGTTGTTATGTATCTAGTTTGAATAATTATTTAGGGAAAAGCCAGACTATTTGCCTGCAGTTGAGGAGGCGCAAGAGGTGTCTTCTTATGGATATTCCCACCACCTACATCGCTCTCATGTCAGGGTACCCAACGAAGAAAATCGCGACACGACCTATTCCCTTACGCCGGCAATGTGGGATAGAAAGGCCTCCAATGCCTCCTTTAGGCTCGCGATTTTCAGCCTAACTTAAAGGTGATACTCTTCTTCGTGTCCGTGACCGCGTACCGCTCCGCCGGTCATGGAATTCACTTCGAGTAGTTCATTTTCAGGATTAGAGCCACGTACAAAAGGCCACTGTTGCCCTGCTGTCAAAATCGCGTCTAGCCTGTATTTGATTGACAGAGCCACTCGGAGCGGCTGCGACGGGGCGCTCTGTATAATAGCCCCTTCTACCCACCCCCCAAAGATAAATTTTACGAGAGGTAGTCGACTGCCCCTCTCTCCGCCCCTAGCAAGATCGATTATGTTGCGTTAGAGTTTGTCCCCCCTGACTATAGGATACAGTGCCGTACTTAAGTGCGCACGCTGGAGTGTTTTTTGTAGCACAGGGTCCATCCCGTCCTGGTCAGCAGACTCACTAAATACGTACAGTTCAGGCACGCAAGTCCGACGACAGATAACTGACCCCATCCAAGTAGCCCACTAAAACAAAAACTTCATTCAGTTCATCCAGAGTGAAGGAAGTGGCCAGTGCGTTTACCTTGTGAGTCATTTTAACAAAAAAAATAATAAATATTTGGGTTTCGAACAGTAAGTTTGTGCCAAAAAATAGCGCGATAGATAGCTCAAATAGAACCTAAAATATTCTGTCCCAGTCGTGAAGGTCGTGACCCAGTCCGACCTACTGACGGGAATGTCTGTCTAGCACCTCGGCCTTCTTTTTTTCTCTCTCTCTCCACCTCCTTTCTTCCTCCTCATTTCCTTCTAGATTCCTAGTTGTCTCAGAGGAAAAATGATTTACGACTGTGAATGTTGTGCCGAAGCTAGTGGAATAACTGCCCTTACACCCTGCCTCAGTTACTTCAAATAAACGTCGTTTCCTGTAACAGAAATAACCACGCTCGTCCCAAACATCAAGCTACTATAGGTATATTAAAACAGTTTGGGTAAACACAACATTACCACTAATACTGAAGACCAAACAAACAATACATAAGGAGTAATATATTTATGGTAGTGGGCAATGCCTTTGCCCATGTGAACGACGTCGATTCAACAGCGATGACTTACACGTAAGCGTGGTTATAGTAAAATAGACATGCACTGCAACTACCTCACTCTCTCCTTCTATAGTCACCAGCAAGTGACAAGGTATGACAGTCCATACGGGCTGGACTCTAAGTATACACCTAGCCGACATCACTTACTAGGGCATCCGGATCTTACACGAGTGAAGATGTCGGGGAGAGCACACTATTAAAATAGTCAAGCTCCAATCGCACATCAAGTTAATAGGGCTTTACTAAGACAATTGAGATATACCCAACGGTGCCAACGATATTGAAAACTAAACACATAGTAGTTCGACCGTTGTGAAAAACGGAACCAGCGAGGTGGGCCCAGTAGTGGTGCCATGTCTATGCGCTTACGAGGGAAAAATTACTGTGGGGTCAGGATCTAACACACATGGGATCGTCAGGGGGACCCCTTTAGAAAGCGTCATTGCAGTTTGGCCTTCAAGCCTGAGACGGACGGGCTTACAACTTCAGTTGTCAGTCTTCTGTGACACTGCTCTTATCGCCTGTTGGCAGACTCCAGGGCATCCGACTGAGTATACCTGAGAATGCACTGATTTACCGTGGGGGTGAATCGTGTAGTGCAAACCTTCTGCTCCCTCTCTCTCTCATTCATCAGTCTGAGTCTGTCAACCGACTGGTGATGGCACTCAACGTAGTGTCTGATGTGGCTTAAAGGCAGCGATCCAAGGCCTGGCACACGCCTGTAAAACGGTCCCTAAAGCCTTGTCCGCACTCAACAGAGCCGGATAATCACGAGGTAGGGGATAATCTAGTCCTGCTTATGCCCCCAGCGCACCCAAAACCCAGTCAGTTAGGGGCCCGTCAAACAAGGGGTCGACCGTCCTGCCCGGCGATGTCCACTGTGCATTCCACAATAAGGTGAAGCAGTCACTGTGACTTGCACGTGAATCAGCTTATAGTGGGGGCAGACTTGTGCAGCACCTGGCGCACTATCTCCTCCTCCCCATCTGGGCTAGGCGCTCGGATACAGTCAAGAAGACCGGAGGTGAGGGAGGTCGCAGGTGGCTGGTACGGCTGGACCCGCACTTAGGCGTACCGCCACATCCCCTTGCCTACAAAAACATTTGACCAGAAATTTTAGTCAACAACAGCAGCATCACAACGAGCCAGAAGTACGAATATGCCTAGGCAGCCATACCAATGGTCTGTATTCCCAGCGGGAGCTCAAGCGCATCTACCGGAAAAAAATCAGGTGCCAGAGAACTGCCAGCGAACGCCAGGCTGCGAGGGATATGGTTTGCTAATCCTGGCATAGCAGACGCTCACAGGCCTCTAGACCCCGAAGGGTTACACGTGGCCCTGCATTTTCCCGGGACATCATCCTTCAAAGGCAGGGTAATCAAATAGCCGGTGACTGAGAGGCACTGCCCATAAAGCACACACACACACTCCACACATGTGTGAGAGTGCCAGACGTCACATTAAGAAGGAGCCGTGACAGCCTGACTCTCAGGCCACCATTCCGTCGCACTATACAAACACACACAACTGGGCAGTCTGCGTGGACTGAGTTGGGGCTTCAGTGGAAGGTGGAAATCGAGTGGAAGGTGGTAAAGACTTGGTGCCACCTTCCAAGCCTAGCAATCGGGTGCTTGTGATGGGTGGTGGTATTGTGATGTGCGGATGCTGGCGAAGGAAGGTGTGATGGTGTGATGTAGCTGACGGTTGTCTACCG